TACAAAGATGATGAAAAAGAAATCAAAGACGATGATGAAGATGAAAGAAAATGGTGAGAAATAATAAAATCGAAAGGTATATAAGAGGAAGAAGAAAAAAAAAGTACAAGTCAAAGACAATGAAGAAGAAGAAAGAAAATATGAGGAAGAAGAAGATGAAGAATTTGGGGCAGAAAAAGAAGACAAAGGACATAAAACTGGAGAATGAACAAGAAGACGAATAAAAACTAGGAAAAGCTAGAGAATAAGAAAAATACAAGGAAGAACTAAACCATAAGATCAAGACTAAGAAGAAGAGTATAACAAAACAGAAGATGAAGAAGAAAAAGAAGACAAATCTGAAGAGAGAAGTTGAAGAAGATGAAGAAGAGAAAAAAAAGATAAGGAATAATAACAATTGAAGTCAATGATAAAGAAGACGGAAAATACGAAGAAGAAGAAAAAAAGAAAAAAAAATCATAATAAGAAAAATTATGACAAGACAAAAATGTTGAAGAATAAGAAGGGGAAGAGGCTGGTGAATTTGGAGAAAGAAGGAGAGAGAGAGTATGTGTGAGAGAAATAGAGATAAGAGAAATGGGAGAGAGAGTTAAACCTTCCAGATACGTGATATTAAATATATGTTACTTCGTCTTTTTGTGTTCCTATTTTTTTATATACGAAACATGTTTTACTTTAAATATAGTTATCTAAATCATATGATATATACAAACTAAGAGAGGAAGGGAGATAGTGAGAGAGAAATATTGAAAGAGGGAGATGGAGAGAGAAAGAATGATAGGGAGGGACCCATGGAGGGGCATAGAGAGAGAGAGTTAAAGTTTTGAGGTACATGTATTTGATTAATATAAAAAACGAAGAAAAACAAGAAGAATATAAAGTCGGAGAAAACGAAAGCGATGATGAAGAAGAAGAAGTAGAAGAGGAAGAAGATAAGGAAAAGATGTGGAAAACACGAAGAAGAAGAAGAAGACGTGACAAAAAAATCCTAAAGATAAGAAGTAAGAAAATACATATAGAATGAAGAGGAGGAGGAAGAAGAAATAAAAGAAAATAAAAGAAAGCTAAGAAGTAGACTTTAAGGGAATAAGGAGAGATAAAGGTGGAAAACGATAAAGAAAGATAAGAAAAAGACGATACAGAACAAAAACCAACATATAAATAAGAGGAAAAAAAATAAGAAGATGAAAAACAATTACGTGGAGATGAAGAATTCGTTTTTGTCTTAGTTCAATTGGTTAGTGAGTTTCATACACTTATTTAGTAGCATTTTGGTTTTTAATTTTGGATGGTGTTTACTTTTGGGTTTGTTTTATTTTATCATCTATGTTTTAAATGATTGTTTTAATTCTCTTCAATCGTCAATTTATAACATCAAGTTCTGTTGTACGTTTGTGAAACCCCTATGCCCGTGCAAGGGGTTTAGGGTTTAAGACAATATTGATGAAAAAGTCTACACCTAGGAATATCTTAATAGTATTAAGATCTTAGGATTGCTGAACCATGAACTGAAATTAAAAATAAGAACACATATTATGTTGCTTCTGAATATTGACCCTAAAGGTGGTTTATGCAATAGAACAAGACTCTTGGTAACATAATTGGCCAAACATGTTATTTAAGCTAGCCACATAACTGGTGAGTATATTGGTCAAAAGATCTTGATCCCATGAATGTTTGTTTCTCCTCACTGAGACAATGTTCCCTTTTAGAATGAGGCATAGACAATTCCCTATAGACGCCTTTGCAATGACTATCCGTAAAAGCCAAGGATAGACTTTTCAAAAAGTTGGACTGTATTTACCAAAATCCATATTTTTCTATGGACAACTTTATGTGGCTATATCACATGTTACTTTGAGAGCTGGTTTGAAAATTCTAATAACGGATACTATAAGTAAACCACAAACCAATTCTTTGAACATTGTATACAAGTCCGTATTTCAGAATGTAGGGAAACAATAGTTTTATTTATTTATTTTGGTTTAGACTTTAACTAATTGAATGGTCTATTTTTATGACAATTTGGTTTACTTATGCTTCAGAATTGATACTCTTTCTCTTTTTCTATTAATGGTTTTCTTGATTGTCGAGAACCTATACTTTTATTAAACATAAAGAAAATCGATTACAAAACCATAATGTTGTTTACAAAATACACACTGAAACAAACTGCAACTTAAAGATCTGCAGTATTGGAATGTTGTACATCAGCAAATATTAATGCACATAACTATAACGGTTATGGTTGATAAAGTGATGAGTTTTTTCAAAAGTATCATTATCCAACTATCGAAATTTATGAGTTTATTAACAATACAGATCATAATAGTATTATCCAACTAACGAAGCTTTTCAACATTATAAAAAAACTTAAATAAATGATTCATGATAGTTAGGATTGTTAGAACAATAGAATATTAAAACATATCATTTCAAAAGATTATATATAACTTACAAAATTCCTACTTATCAATAATCGCCTTTATAAATTTTGTAATTAACTTTGTATACATTGCAGATCCGCATTTGGCGCGGATCCTCACCTAATAGTTATGTATAAACGAGTCTCCAATCTATATAAAGCGTGATTGCTTGCAGATATCAAATCAGCATCATTTCTTATTTTCTTTTTCTTTTCGGGATACCAGTATTCGAATCAGAATTAATTTTGAGTTGATAAAAATATTTTTTTCTTTTGCATCTTAAAAGCAAATTAAAGAATTTATCCCAAAGTTTACTCATAAATATACATTCTTTATAACTCACATGATTTAGTTAGAAAAATATTCCTTAAAAACTTTAACAAAAACAATATATTCTATTAAAACATAAGCACATTTAGTGCCTCTTTCCAAACACACCTAAAATTTTTAAAAATATTTTCTTTTATATTATATTAAATTTTGAAAATTGGTTATTAATTTAGATATTGTTAGATTTTCTTAAATAGAAGTTATATTTAATTTATATTTCAAAGTATTCGAAATTTTTTTAATTAATTTCAATTACAAAAATTTAGGTTCAATTTAATTTAAAATTAAAAAAAAAATTATAAATAAATTAATTACGAAAATTTAGATAATAATTTTAGTTACTTGAGAATTCTTTGAATACATGTTAGATTTAATTAAAAAATTTTAATTAAATAAAATTTTCATAATAATAACACAAATAGTAAATAAATATTTTATTATATTTCATCATAATCAATCGGTATAAAGTATAAAATATTCAATATTGATAAATATTTATATTATACAATAATATGATGGAGCAAGTTAGAGTTATGCATTTATAATTACAGTCTTATTCGGATTAGTTTGTTAAAACATGTAAAATATTCAAAAAATAATTTGAGATAATTAAACGGACTGCTTAACCAATTCATAGATATATAAATTGTTTATGTCTAAATCTAAATTTACATAATAATAAAGTTCATAATTAACATTAGATCAATATATCTATTCTATTAAAACAGAAGCACATTTAGTGCTTGCATCCAAACACTCCCAAAATTTTTTTATAATATTTTATTTTATTTTTATATTTAATTTCCGAAAAATAGTTATTAATTTAGATATTTTTAGATTTCCTAAAATCTAGCTCATCTTTAATTTAAATTTTAAATTATTAGAAATTTAACTAAATTTAGTTACAAAAATTTGCATTAAATTTAATTTAAATTCAAAAAATTCAAAAAAAATTATAATTAAATTTTATTACGAAAATTTACATAAAAATTTTAATACTTTAGAATTTCTTAAATACAGGAAAAACTTAATTTAAAATTTTAAGTTTAACTAATATTCTTATAAAAATGCATAGTAAATAAATATTTTATCGTATTTTATCATAAACAATCGGTCTAAAATATCAAATATTTGAGATTAATAAATATTTATATTATACAATAATATGATCGAGCTGATTAGAGTTATATATATATGTATATATATATATATAAGATCCATGAGTTAATTTATTAAAACATGTAAGATATTAAGATGATTTGAGACAATTAAACTAACAGGTTAGCCCGTTTATATATATATATATATATATATATATATATATATATATACATTTTTTTGATAGCACAAATAGTAAATAAATATCTTATTATATTTTTTCATAATCAATTGGTCCAAATATTCCATATTAGTAAATATTTATAGGGTCATACAATTATAATTATAGTCTTATACGGGTTAGTTTGTCAAAACATGGAAGATATTAAAAATGATTTAAGACAACTAAACGGATGGATTAACAAATTCATAGATATATAGATTGTTTATGTGTAAATCTAAATTCACATAATAACAAAGTTTATAATTAACATTAGATCAATGTATACTTAATTAATGTATACTCTTACTCTACTAATATACAAATTTTACTGTTTAAAATTATATGATAACATTTTTTTGATTAAAAAAATAAATAACAAAAATAAATTATATCTAAACAAAAAAGATAAATGCAACTTATATTAGAAATAAAAAAATAAAACATTTCCGTGCAGATGTACGGGGGTTAAAATCTAGTACTTAATTAACTCATATCCTTATTCTACTAATATAGAAATTTATACAATTCAAATTTAAAATATAATAACAAAATTTTTGATTTAAAAAGAAATAAATAATAAAATATAATTTTATTAAAAAATTATATTAAAAATAAAAATGAAAAATTCTCGTGTGAATGCACAGAGTTAAAATATAGTATTCCTTAAATCACATCATAACCTTTCAACATTAATGTACCATGATACTTATCGAATCCGATAACAATCATTGATACATCATCGAGTCAACATGATGGGATCTGTCAAATGACATAAAAAACCACTACTGTAGATCATCAAAGGGGTAATATAGTCATTTTGAACGGTCCCGAGCCCGATAAAACAAAAAAAACATCTCCATCTCCAGCGTTTCTCTTCTTAATGCTTATAGTGTTTTTTCTTTCACTTTTCGTCTCCACTAATTACTCGGATCTCTCTCATAATTCTCGGCTTTGTTCGTATTTCGTGTGTCACAAATCACAAATCTTTTCAAAAGCCCATCAGAAAAATAATCTGAGCTCGTCATCTTCATCTGATTTTTTTTTCACTGTCTTCGAAGCGGTTGTTTTTGTCCGTACGTGATGATTTCGAATATGTCGAAGAAGCTTTAGAAAACATAAGATTAGGGTTTCCAATTTTCTCTTTTTTTCTAAATGGCGGTGGAGTATGAATGCTGTGAGACAAACTTCTTCATACACATCGTAGTGATAGTGTTTCTTGTCTTGTTCGCTGGACTCATGTCTGGTCTTACTTTGGGTCTTATGTCCATGAGTCTCGTTGATCTTGAGGTTCTGGCTAAATCCGGTACACCCAGAGATCGTAAACATGCTGGTAATTCGATTCTTGCTGATTTTGATTCTCTTATTTTGTTACTGTCACCATCTGAGGAGAATGTTGATTTTCCTTTAATTTTTAAAATTATTAGTGGAATCTCTCTCGCATGTGTTTGGTAAGTAGACGTCACGAGAATCTCTCTATGATTTGATGATTTTTTTACTTGATTAATTAAGTTAATTAAATTCTTAAATTGGGTCCAGATTTTGATTTCTCGGATTATTAGATTGTAGCTTTGTAAGCTTCTCTAAACCAAAACTTGAAATTTTACGAGGACTTGCTACTAGATTGCATTATGAATTTGATTGGATTTCTGGTAGATTCTATCTGTTAATTTTTTTAATTTTTTGTTTGGTCACAATTACAGCATGTGTTAATTTGGGTCTAGGTTTTTTTATTTATTTCTGGGAATATTAAATTGTAGCGTGTGAATTATTACTGAAGATTAGCTTTTACTTAGTGATCACAATTGTATTTTTGGCTTTAATGCAGCAAAGATATTACCAGTTGTGGAAAATCAGCATCTGTTGCTTTGCACTTTACTAATATGCAATGCAGCTGCTATGGAGGTAAATATTACGAAAATGTTAAAAGTTGTTATGTTTATCTTAGTAATGACTTGACTTTGTAATTTCCTCAGGCACTTCCTATTTTCCTTGATGCCCTTGTGACGGCTTGGAGTGCTATTCTGATTTCTGTGACATTGATTCTTCTCTTTGGTGAGGTAAGATTTGGTTTTACTTAGCGTCACATTTAGTCAGTTTCATGTATCTGAAATGTAATTGTGTTTGATGAAGACACGTTCTTGAAGTTTTGCTGATGGTTGATATAAGTCTTATCTGCAGATTATACCTCAGTCTGTCTGTTCCCGTCATGGTTTGGCAATTGGCGCAATAGTGGCACCATTTGTCCGTGTTCTAGTCTGGATCTGCTTTCCATTTGCGTGGCCGATTAGTAAGGTGATTCAAATTCACTGCAAAATCTCTTGAGGGTCCAAAGACTTTTCGTTCTGATGAAAATCTTTGCCTCATTCTTTGCTCAGCTGCTGGACTATCTACTGGGTCATGGTCGTGTAGCACTTTTCCGCAGAGCCGAGCTGAAAACACTAGTGGATTTTCATGGGAATGAGGCATGTCTTCTATTTCTCTGATGTCTCAAACTTGCGAGTTCTGTTTCCCTCATCTTCAAGATAACAAGTTTCTATTTCAGGCTGGTAAAGGTGGAGAGTTGACACATGATGAGACAACAATCATTGCTGGAGCTCTTGAACTATCAGGGAAAATGGCTAAAGATGCAATGACACCAATTTCTGAGACTTTTGTGATTGATATCAACGCCAAACTAGACAGGTACTAGTTCTTGCTTTGTTCAACTCCTCTGCGCGGATTCGTTAGTGATCTATCTAAGTCGTGCTCAACATTGTTTCTTTGTACTTCACCAGAGATTTGATGAATTTGATTCTTGAGAAAGGGCATAGCAGGGTCCCTGTATACTACGAGCAACGTACAAACATAATTGGACTTGTTTTGGTAAATTTCTATCTCATTACACGTCAATTCGTACTCCAAGCAGTACTCAGAAGAATATGCATCCAACGGCTCCTAAATTTATCTTCAGGTCAAGAACTTATTGACTATCAATCCAGATGAAGAAATACAAGTCAAGAATGTGACTATACGAAGGATCCCAAGGTCAATTTACAAATTACAGTTTGATGTTCCAACCTAAAACAAATCAAGATTTGTTGAATCTTTTTTTTTGTTTTTCTCTCATGCAACCTAGAGTTCCAGAAACCTTACCGTTATATGATATATTGAACGAGTTCCAGAAAGGACACAGCCACATGGCTGTTGTTGTGAGACAATGGGACAAAATCCACCCCTTACCCGGTAATGATGCTCTTAACGGTAAATGGTTTTTCTTTTTACATTTTGGGAGTAACATGATGAGATGGATATTTCATACACTAGACTAATAACCTTCTCTTCTCTTTTGATAGAGAGTTTAAACGAAGTCAGAGTGGATGTGGATAATGAGAGATCCCCACAAGAAAAGAAGTTGAAGAGAAGGAGATCACTTCAGAAATGGAAAAGCTTTCCAAACCGAGCAAATTCGTTTAAAGGAGGGTCTAGGAGTAAAAGGTGGTCAAAGGATAATGATGCCGACATTCTGCAACTTAACGGACATTCACTGCCAAAACTAGCCGAGGAGGAAGAAGCTGTTGGTATCATTACAATGGAAGATGTCATTGAAGAACTTCTACAGGTTAGGAAACCTCCAAACATACTTACCTCTCTACAATTCTCATAATTTTTTTTCTTATCATTTGTGTTTTGTGGCTTTAGGAAGAGATATTTGATGAGACGGATCATCATTTTGAAGACTCGTGACAGATACTACTACAGGAGATCAACATTTGGTGGCAGAACTCAGCAAATCCAATACGTACAAGTTTTGTTGTGAAAAGTTCATATAAAAGCTACTGCTTAAGTAAATAGTTAGTGTCAAATCTACAAGTTGTGCGGACATTAGGTACAAAGATTTTCCTTTGCATGAACTGTTAATATATGTTTATAATCGTACAACATAACCATTAAAGCAGTTCGCATCAACTGTGCTTTTTCATTACTCTAGGAATAGAAGCCTACGTGAGAAGTTCAATCTAGTAGTGGAGGCCTTTATTAACTCAATGGAGTGAAAAGAAACACATCAGAAGCTGATCCACTTGAAGATACCACAAGAAATCTCATACGGACCCGACAAGGACCAAACAGAGGACATTGCAAGTTTAACTTACAAACGACATATATTGATAAACTGAGAAAACGTGAAAAGATGTGACTGGCAAATTGGACCGAGGGAGAAGGTACATCGATGAGGTCGGAGAGAATTGTTTTGATTAGGAGCAATAGAGATGGCTGAGGAGGAACGAAGGGAACGTGTGATGGTAGATTGATGAAATATTGGTGTTTTTTTTTTGGAAAAACAGAAATGCAATAACTTTAAAAATGTATGATGCAACAAATTATTACATACACTGGTATAGGGATTGATGTATGCTTCAGGGTAGAGTCACACAATGAATCGATGAAGATCAAACAAGTTGGCCTTCGCAGAGGATCGGTTCAGGGGAAGTGAGGGTGGATCGATGGCACAACAGAGAGGGTGGATCGATGGCACCACAGAGAGGATGGAAAGCTCTCTGAGACAGCAAACACTAACATTTGAGTGGAATCACACATACACAAAGGCAAGCAACTCTCTCAAGCAAAAGTTTCAAAGAAAACGGTGTTATTTTATTGATAAGCAAAAAGTGTCGAACTACAAAGCTGCAAGGAGACTTCATAAACAGTCCATTGGCTTGAACCTTCTAGGATTCGACTCAAATGAAAAAAAAGACTATAAAACCACAAGACTTGCAAAAGAAACAAAAGAAAACGGCAAAGAAACAAGTAAACAGCGAGTTGTCTCATTTGGACACAAATAAGAAAAGTTCTACTTAAATGAATTAAAAAAAAAATAAACTCTTGAGTCTTGACCGAGAGTTGATCCCTGGTGTCTCTGGACTCTCGTGGCTCTTAGTCACCACTGAACTGGTCTTCTGTTCCTGCACAAAACTCATAAATAAAGTTTACCTGTTGTGCACGCAAAAGAGGCCATGGGAGAAGTGAGCTGTTCTTGACGTGTGTTTGAGCGATCTTCAGGTGGTCTTCTGCGGCCTTGGTAGAGTTGATGATGCTTGTTTCAAGTGCATGAATCCATTCTTTGGCAGCCTCTTCCTCAGTTAGCGTATCTTGTACCAACTCCCGTTGATTGCTATCGGCTAAGTGTTAGGTGTTGCTTGTCTTGGGCTCTTGAGTGATGATTTCCTCGGGCTTTGTGATGGTCTCAACTCCTTGTCTAGTCAAGAGAGATTTCATACCTGTTTTCTTGCTAGACCGTGGCTGGTTCGGTTGAGTTTGAGCTGTGTCCTCTACTTGTTCATCCTCGGGTGCTTGTATGAAGCTAGATACGGCTAAGTTGATATTTTCACGCAGGCTCCTGGTTCTGGACCGGGTCATGGGACCAGTTTGAAGTGTAGGGATATTGGGATCCTCATTAGAGTGCTCGATGACCTCATCATTCTCTCCCTCTTCAAGAGGTTTTGCCCTCAAAACTGTTTCACCTGCATCAAAAGGAGACAAATCAGCTACATTGAAACTATGCGAAATGTTAAACTCACCTGGTAGCTCAAGTTTGTAGGCATTGTCATTTATCCTCTCCAAGACACGGAATGGGCCATCTCCCCTCGGTGCTAGCTTGGAGTTCCTCTTGTGTGGGAATCGTTCAGGCTTCATATGAAGCCAAACCCATTCTCCAGGTTCGAAAACTAACTCTTTGCGGCCCTTGTCAGCTTTCCTCTTGTACCCTTCAGTCTTTTTCTCTATGTTCTCCTTGGCCTTTTGATGAAGTTTCTTGATGAACTCTCCCTTCTTCAAGCCATCTAGATTAACTTGTTCCACTTGAGGTAATGGTGAGAGATCTAAAGGGGTTAAAGGATTGAACCCATATACAACTTCAAAAGGAGACAGTTTAGTAGCAGAGTGTGTGGCTCGGTTATAAGCGAATTCAACAAAGGGGAGACACTCTAACCATTTTTTCAAATTGTTACCGATGATGGCTCTGAGTAAGGTCGAAAGTGTGCGATTCACCACTTCGGTCTGTCCATTGGTCTTGAGGTGGCATGTGGTGGGAAAGAGCAGCTTGGTGCCTAGTTTTCTGCAAAGTGTCTTCCAGAAGTGACTCAAGAATTTGGTGTCTCGATCAGACACAATGGTCCTAGGGACTCCGTGTAGACGCACCACTTCTTTAAGGAATAGATCAGCTGTCTGCGTGGCATCATTCACTTTCGCACAAGGTATAAAGTGTGCCATCTTGGAGAATTGGTCCACCACTACGAATATAGAATCCTTGTGCCTGATCTTGGATAAACCCAGTACAAAATCCATGGAAATATCCACCCAAGGGGCATTAAGAATAGGTAAAGGGATGTATAAGCCATGGGGATGTGACCTGGACTTAGCCTTGCGGCAAGTGATGCATTTTGAACAAAATTTCTCCACATCTTTCTTCAGATGTGGCCAGAAGAAATGGTCCACCAGAACGGCTAGGGTTTTGTTCATGCCGAAATGACCCATTAGGCCACCACCATGAGCTTCTCTTATTAGTAAATCTTGCATAGACCCTTGTGGAATGCACAGCCTCTTGTCTTTAAACAAGAACCCATCGTGCAAGTAGTAGGCTACAAAGGCTCCTTTTCCACTTGACTTGTAGCTCTCAGAGAAGTCAAGATCCTCTTCGTATAACCCCTTGATGTGTTCAAATCCCAAGACTTTGGCCTCCATAGTTGAGATCAATGTATGTCGCAGAGACAACGCATCTGCCACCACATTGTCTTTCCCCTTTTTGTACTTAATGACGTAAGGGAAAGTCTCAATGAACTCCAGCCAATTGGCGTGCCTTCTCTTTAGAGTTGTTTGACCTCTTAGGTGCTTGAGGGTTTCATGGTCTGTGTGTATCACAAACTCTTTGGAGAGGAGATAATGTTGCCAGTCTCCAAGGCTCTCACTAGCGCGAACAGCTCCTTGTCATATGTGGGGTAATTTAGGGTGGCTCCGCTTAGCTTCTCACTGAAATACTCCACTGGCCTCTGCCTTTGATGTAACACGGCTCCAATCCCTAGTCCTGAAGCATCACATTCAACTTCAAAAGTTACATCAAAATCAGGTAAAACTAAGACAGGCGCTTGAGTTAAACGAGTCTTAAGGGAGTTAAAAGTTATTTCTTGTGCGGCTCCCCAAGTGAATGGTGTGTTCTTCTTGATAACAGCTGTGAGTGGGGCAGTTATTGTGCTGAAATCTCGCACAAACCGGCGGTAGAAACTTGCTAGGCCATGAAAACTCCGAACTTGGCTGATGGTAGAAGGGGTCGGCCACTCTTGTATAGCCTTGATCTTCTCTTGATCCACTTGTAAATCCTGTTCACTAACAACAAAGCCTAAAAACACATGCTGATTAGTACAAAATGAGCACTTCTTAAGGTTGGCATAGAGCTCTTCCTTTCAAAGTGTTTTAAGAACTAATTCTAAATGCATGAGATGATCAGGTAAGCTCTTGCTGTAGATAAGAATGTCATCAATGTACACTACAACAAATTTACCAATAAAAGACCTTATAACCTGGTTCATTAGGCGCATGAAGGTGCTGGGGGCATTTGTCAATCCGAATGGCATCACCAACCATTCATAAAGACCTTGTTTAGTCTTGAAGGCGGTTTTCCACTCATCTCCTTCACGCATTCGCACCTAGTGGTACCCACTCTTGAGATCCACCTTTGAGAAGATTGTTGCACCACTTAGTTCATCAAGCATGTTGCCAAGACGAGATATAGGGTGTCTGTACTTGATTGTGATGTTAACAGCCCTACAATAGACGCACATCCTCCAAGTGCCATCTTTCTTAGGCACTAACAACACAGGGACCGCACACGGGCTGAGGCTCTCTTGCACATAGCCCTTGTCCATCAATTCTCTTACTTGCATCTCAAGCTCCTTGCTTTCCTCGGGATTCATTCTGTAGGCTGGTTTGTTGGGCAATGCTGCACCTGGAATGAGGTCTATTTGATGCTTAATTCCTCGAATGGGGGGCAGGCCGGCTGGTATTTCATCAGGAAAAACATCCTTGAATCGTTCAATGAGAGCTTGAATCTCCGGGGGTATGTCTAACTCCTTATTTCCTGCGCTCAAGCATTCTTTGTAGACCATTAGTAGCACAGTGCCTTTGGCACTTAAAGTTTTTGAAATGGCACCAGAAGTGAAATATAAGTTAGTTTTACTTACCTGGTGCTCCTTGCTCATTCTAGCTTGTAATTCATGTACCTCGGAGGGTGTAAGTGGGGCCAAGTTATACTTGTGGTCTCTGTGAGTGAATGAATAGAAGTTGGTATGTCCATTGTGCAATGTGACGCGATCATATTGCCAAGGTCTCCCTAGCAAAAGATGTCCAGCCTGCATCGGCACTACATCACACAAGACTTGATCTCGGTATTTGCCTACACTGAAGGGAACGATGACTTGCTCAGTAACTTTCAGCTCGGTCATGTCATTGAGCCATTGTAGCTTGTATGGTCGAGGGTGATTAACGGTTTCTAGTCCCAACCTGTCCACCATAAACTTGCTACCAACATTAGCACACGATCCTTCATCAATGACTAAGTTACATACCTTGTCTCGGATGGTGCAACGAATGTGAAATAAATTTTCACGTTGGAGCTTCTCCTCAGGGTTGACAAGGACACTGAGCACACGTTGAGTCACCAAGAGATCTCCCATGTCAGGGTACTCTACTTCTTCTTCGAGATCATCTGGCTCATCATTGAGCTCATCTTGAGACTCATAGTCTCCACGGGTAGCAACACCATTACACGCTGATTTGGGCACTCCCTAGCCATGTCACCTCTCCCCTGACACTTAAAACATATAATTTCACGAGTTCTAGGGGCACTAGGGAACTTACCTTGCTCCACACGTGAGGTCTTAGCTGTTTTGGAGCTTTGCCTTTGTAGCGTGAATCGATTTCTATAGCCTTTCTTTTGTCCACCGGTTTGGAACTACTAGCGTTCCAGGTCTGAGGGGCACGGTTTCTATTTGACAAGGCCGTTTTGCGCTTGATCTGCTGCTCCACTTGCACTGACAAGTGAAAGAGTTCATGCATCCCACTATATTGATCTCGTTCCACCTTACGGGCTATACGCTCTTGTAAACCGTCTATAAACTGAGCCATCAAGGCCTCCTCAGTCTCCTCGAGCTCTAACAGGTTCACCAACTTCTCAAACTACTCATAATACTCATCAACAGACCTAGCTCCCTGTGACAACTTTCTAAAACGTTTTTGTAAGTCCCAGTGATAGTGATCAGCTACATACCTTGATCGGAGCAAGAATTTCATGTCTCTTCAAGTGGTGACCGGTGCAAAACGGTTTCTCCTCCCGTCAGCCACGTTTATATACCACCAAGCTAGGGCATTGTCGGTGAGTTGAGCACCAGTTAGTGCCACTTTCTTGCGGTCAGAATATCCGTAACACTCAAAGATGTATTCAAGCCTTCTCTCCCAATCCAAGTAGACATCAGGGTCCGATTTACCTGCAAAAGTAGGAGGAGTAAGCTTAACATCAAAATTACCCTCTCTAGGTTCGTCTTGCCTCGCGTTCTGTCTTCTCAAGGGGTCTTGAGCTTGTTGTTGTTGCCGTGCTAACGGTTCAGGTGGAACATCATCTTCTAAGATGGGCATCTCTTCTTCTGGTTGGGGTGGATTCCGTCGGGCCTCTCGAGCTCCTCCAGCTGCAGCTGCAACAGCCGGTGCCGGTGGTGGCTGCTCTAGACGACCAACTCGATCCCCAAACTTCTGCCTCATCGTCCTCATCTCTTCTCGCATCGCCGTAAGCATTTGCATCAGTGCTTCTTGTCGTACGGGGTCTTCAGCCATAGTGTCTCGAGGTTGTTCCTGTGCTCACAAGGAAACAAAAGGAATCACGGTACCTTGGGGTAGAGAGACTTAAATACTCAAGAATGTAAAAGGAAAAGTTGCAAATGACTAGACGCTTGAAAACTATTGAAAAGGAAGTAGCACAAATGGAGAAATGGAAAACATCAAACTTTTTTTTTTTTTTTGACTTAAACTCTTGGGACTCTAGCTAGAACACGAAACAAAGAACAGGCTACCAATCAAAACGAAGACCAAAGATAATCAAGCATCAGAGAAAACGACTAACTCAAAGCGGTTGCAAGTCTCAATAGTCTAGAACCCTAAACTTGTGAGACAAGAATCTCAACGGCTAACTCTTTTTTTTTTAAACAACTAAAAGACTCGAACAAAATGGAACAACAACTAGATCACACGCAACAACAAATGGAACCAGTTGAATGATACGAATGATTAACAACCTAGGATAAACAAAAGCGATCTAATTTTTTTTTTTTTTGAGAAGATAAGCAAACAACAACTAATAGAGATAAACTAGAGATCAATAGATATCACCTGATGACAGAACCTTTCGGCTCTGATACCAAAATGATGTATGCCTCGGGGTAGAGTAACACAATGAATCGATGGAGATCAAACAAGCTGGCCTTCGCTCTCTCTTGTTGGATCGGTTCAGGGGAAGTGAGGGTGGATCGATGGCACCACAGAGAGGATGGAAGGCTCTCTGATACAGAAAACACTAACCTTTGAGTGAAATCACACACACACAAAGGCAAGCAACTCTCTCAAGCAAAAGCTTCAAAGAAAACGACCTTATTTTATTGATAAGCAAAAAGGTGTCGAACAACAAAGCTGCAAGGGGACTTTATAAACAGTCCATCAGCTTGAACCTTCTAGGGTTCGACTCAAGTGAAAAGAAAAGACTCAAAAACCACAGGACTTTCAAAAGAAACAAAAGAAAACGGCAAAGAAACAAGTAAACAGCGAGTTGTCTCATTTAAACACAAATAAAGAAAGTTCCACTTAACTGAATTAAAAAGAAAATAAAACTCTTGAGTCTTGACTGAGACTTGATCCCTGGTGTCACCACTGAACTTGTCTTCTGTTCCTGCACAAAACTCATAAATATAGTTTACCTGTTGTGCACGCAAAAGAGGCCATGGGAGAAGTGCGCTGTTCTTGACGTGTGTTGGGGCGATCTTCAGGTGGTCTTCTGCGGCCTTGGTAGTGTTGATGATGCTTGTTTCAAGTACGTGAATCCCTTCCTTGGCAGCCTCTTCCTCAGTTAGCGTATCTTGTACCAGCTCCGGTTGATCGCTATCGGTTAAGTGTTTGGTGTTGCTTGTCTTGGGCTCTTGAGTGATGATCTCTTCGGGCTTTGTGATGGTCTCGACTCTTTGTCCTGTCAAGAGAGATTTTATTCATGTTTTCTTGCTAGATCGTGGCTGGTTCGGTTGAGTTTGAGCCGTGTCCTCTACTTGTTCCTCCTCGGGTGCTTGTATGAAGTTATATACGGCTAAGTTGATATTTTTGTTGGAACCCAATATTAATAAGCATTTGGACTTGTAATATTGAGTTTGTGTGTGAATAAAAAATGAAGTTTAATAAGCAAATGGGCCTTATAAATTCATTTGAGATTTGGGTTTCAGCCTATGGAAATGTAATGTTCCTATTGGCTATAACTAAAAGTGGAAGTTTAGTGGAAGTGTATTTGTCCCACATTGCTCATTAAGGAGAAAAATCTCTTGTATATATATGACATTCTCACAATAAGGGTCAACAGCATTGTGGGAGTAAAATGGCATTATGCAAAAACACCTACACGCCGCCGTCGCCGGTGCCGGTGCCGGGCTCGTGGTCGTTGCTCGTTGCATTTTTTAGTTGGCTCCTAGGGCTCTTGGGCTCTATATAGCTGGGCGTGGGTCGTGGGCTTCTTAGTTCCTGCGAAATATTTTTTGCATATTGAAAGGATAAATCTTAGGAAATAAAAGATTGCGTCGAGATAATAACGAAAGATTTCCGAATCCTTTTACTTGCGGAAAAAGGAGAATATCTCGTGAATATTCCTTTTTGCCAAAGCTTATTCCTTGCGGATCAAGTTGAACCTTCCAGTATAAATAGATGCCCTCTTCTCTCATTCTAAATCATCAAATTCTCGAATACACCAAGCACACAGCAAATAATTCTTTCCAGCAAATCTCTCTCGTCTTAATATCGTAAGTGTCTCGAGAGCTATAGCGTAGTATAATTTCAGTTCGCAGATTCTATTACGGGTGTTGCGTAAAAGTCTCATCACGGTTGTATCCTGGGATTCAAAAATCGCACCATACGGTCACACATTACCGGCGATTTATTGAGTTAAGGAAAGAGATCATATCTCGACTCCGTGTTTTCGTCTGTTTTCAATCGTTTTTCTAACTCTCGTTTTAATCTCTTACCTTAACATATCGTTTATAATATTGCTATTTTCTATTCGTGATTTCAATCTGATTTTCGCGGTCCTACAATCTTAACTCAATAAATCCGCTTCCTGCTTATCGCTTGAATCGGATTGAATATTGCGAAACAGTTTTATAAACGGTTTTGAAAAAAAAAACGAGTTTTTAAAATCGATCTACAAAGTGTCTGCGAAAGTTTCTTAGCTATTTCGTAGAACTTTTGATCTGTTAAAGACGAATCTTCTGAAACGGTTTATGCGGCAGTCATAGACAGGTCCGCAAAACGTGTTAGGGTTTAAGAACGTCCTCAAAAGACGATTCTGGGAACACCTATTTTCGAGTTCTAAGAATACCTATTGGTAATATCTGTGGAAACTCAAAGCGAATCCTTTTCGGAAAACTCTGTTCATAGCGACTTAAACGTTTTAATCGCTGATTTGAATCTTGGTTCTCAATACTAACTTCGGTTATTTTCTGTGAACAGATTCAACTATGACTAACGGTGATGTCGACATGACTACCAATGGAAGCTCGGGTGAAGTCAGGATGCCAGCGTCGGTAACCGCAGGACTTCAGCCCGACAAGTTCGATGGTTCGAACTTCAAGCAGTGGCAAGAAAGGATGCACTTCTTTCTGTCGTCAATGCAGCTGAGCAAGTACCTCACAGAGAATCCCCCAACAGTGCCAGAAGGAAATAAAGATGCTACGATTCTAGCTACCATTGAAGCATGGAAGCACTCAGACTTCCTATGCAAAGAGCACATCAAACATCGCCTGGTGGACCAGCTGTTCGATGTGTACAGTGAGGTCAAAACTTCCAAAGAACTCTAGGATGCTTTGGAAAAGAAGTACAAGTCGTACAATGTCGGCTCTTGGAAATTCGCTACAGCAAAACTCCTCAAGTTTGAGATGGTGGATTCTCGTCCCATCATGCCACAAGTGCACGAGCTGGAACTAATCTTTCAAGAGATTAGGACTGAAGGAATGAAGCTATGTGAGACATTCACGGTGAACTGCTTCATTGAGAAGTTGCCTCCAAGTTGGGCAGACTTCCAGAACTATCTTGCTTACAAGCAAAAGGCCCTGTCTCTGGCAAATCTGATATCCAGATTGCAGAATGAGTCACTAAAACGTGATAGAGTTGGAAAAGAAGATGATCAGATCATGACCCATGATGCAAACGTGGCTGAGTACAGGAAAAAGGGCAAAGGCAAACTATCCAACAAGGCTGTGCCTAACAAGTTTCCTCCACGAAACAACACTAGCTTCAAGAAGCAAGGTCAAGCACCCATGAAGAACAAGTTCAATCGGAAGTGCAATTACTGCAACAAGCTTGGACATAAGTCTTCAGAGTGTCGCCGAAAGGCTAAGTCTGAGAACAACCAAGCTCACTTGACTGAAGCAGACCTGTGTGCAATGGTTACAGAGGCTAACTTGGTGGAAGAGAACCCCAAGGCGTGGTGGTATGACACAGGTGCTACCACACACATCTGTATTGACAGAGAGATGTTCAGTACCTATCAGAAGTGCAAGACTGATGATCAACTGAAGATGGGAAACATCTCCCAATCCAAGATTGAAGGTACTGGAAAAGTTGTGTTGAAGATGACTTCAGGTATGGAGGTTACTCTCAACAACGTGAAGCATGTTCCAGACATGAGGAAGAACCTGATCTCTGGTACTCTAATGAGCAAGCATGGTTTTGCAATCAACTTTGAGTCTGACCAGCTGATACTTAGGAAGAATGGTGTTTTCATAGGAAAATGTTATGTTAAGTCAGGATTGATCAAAATGTCTGTAATGATAAACCTGAAGAAAAAAAAAGTTGTACCTGATTCCAAAGATTTAACTAATAAAAACCCA